GATGGCCGGGGGGCTTGAGGGGCACGTTTGGGGTCCCGGCAGCATTCCGTGTCGTGCCCAGAAGTCTTTCCTTTGTAAGAATTGAGACCCATGCATTTGTGATTTGTGCACTGGACTGCAGACATGTCGTAGCTCAGTAAATTTTTTTAAAAAGGAAGAAAACGGTCAGCAGTGTTGCTGAGAAATTATAAAAGATTAGATGATTTCCAGGAATTTTGCAAATTGTAAACAGTACGATGACATATTACCCTGTTCAGCACAGGGATTGCTGTGGTACTGACCTCGCAGACTTTGTGGCTGCTGTCTGCAGGCTGGCGGGCCTGGCGGCAGTGAGGGGCGCCCCCTGCCACCGGCTCCCACCTGAGCCGAGCGCGGGCCGTGGCCGTGAACAGGTCAGCCCTTCCGAGTAGGCCCTCAGGGCCGTGGCCTGTGGCAGCCTCCCCCAGATCCACAGTCAGTCTCAGACTCCGTCAGGCCCAGCCAGCGGGCAGCGCCAGGTGTGTCTGCGCTGCCATCAGCCGGCTCGGCGTGGGTTTCCACCAGAGCTCCGCGTGTTCGCCGCCACAGCGGGAAGGACGTGCTTCATCTTCATGTGTTAGCTGGAAATGCATCGTGCTTCCCTGCGGGGGCAGGGTGGGTGGGTGAGCCCCTGGCTCTGGGTGCTGGTGCTGTTATTTCACATGGGTGTCAGGGGAACGATCACCGCGGTCATGCCAGTTCTGACATTCTGGGCTCTGCCGGGTGTCCAGAAACTTCCATCAGCTAACAAACAAACATTTATTACTTGGAGAAATTGATGACTGGACTTGGGCTGCTAAACAGGAGTGGTTTTCCCAAGTCCGTGACTGGCTCGCACCCTGACCCCTGCCCCTCCACCGGGGTCATGGACGTTCCTGCACAGAGCCCGGGGTCAGAGTGCGCAAGAAAGTGGCCCGTTTCCCAGAGCCCCAGAGAACCCAGGGAGCCTGCTACGCATCCTCCCACCTCGGCTCTTCTCACGGGAAACCGCTCTCAGCTCCACGGCCTGGAAGTCACGTTGGTTTGTGGGTTTCTTCCGTACAGAGCGGGATCCAAACCATCGGCCTTGGAGGGAGGAGAAAGCCGTCTTTGTTGGCGGCCTCTCGCGCTGGAAAACCATCACACGGCTGTCCCCTCTGCGCTGGCCCCAGCGCCTTGCCAGCAAATCCTTAATCCCCAAATTGGGTCTTTGTGAGGAGAACAAAGGGGCGCTTTCTGATCCTTTCAGGAGATCAGGTGTCCATGCCATTTCTTGTTGCCCTGACTTATCATGAGCCGGGCCGCTCGGGGAGGGCTGGCCCATACCTGTGCAGGTGAGGGCGTGCAGGCTCCCTTGGCCGTCAGCCGCCGGGTCACTTCCACGGAACCCCAGACTCCAGGGAAGGTTACACGTAATGTCCTGTGATGCTCCCGTCGCCTAGTGTGTCTGACCGCTCTGCTGGTTGGTCTCTCCAAGTCGTTGTGGCTTTTCCAGTTCCTTCTGCCACCCTGTCACCCAAGGCAAGCCCCGAAATCTTGTCGAGCCCCTCCTACGTGTGTCTGGGCAAGGGGCCAGGATGGAAACACAGGGCTGGACATCTGTCATGCTCCTCCCTCTGCAGGCTCCACTCCGTGGAGTGGCCTTCCTGCACTTCTGTCCTGGGGTGCACAGACGAGGGGCCCTCGAGCAGCTCTCACCACAGGGATTGTCAGGTGTACCTGAGAGGCTTCCCGAATGCCTCCACCCCAGTGGAGTGGCTGGCTGTGTGACCTGGGACAGGCCCCTGGGGGCGGTGGTACCCACGCTGCTCTTGGGGGCAGGTGCCAGCATCTGTACCGCAGCTCGCCCGCACCGGGGGAAGCATAGTCCCTCATGGCTTCCCGTCGTGCTCCCGGGGGCACGTCATCTTCATGTGCACCTGCTGAGACAGTGAGGTGGTGTCCTGTTCACTCCTTGCCCTGACTCTGGGGCGGGGATGTCAGCCCAGTTCCGTGGGGGTGGGGACTGGGGGGAGGAGAAACTAGGGAACTGCCAGTGTGGCACAGCCAATGAGGGTTGTGCCCTGGGCCTTGCCGTCTGGTGCGAGTGGTTAGCAAGGAGAACCCCACAGGGTCCCTTTTGGCGAGAGTGAGTGTGTGTGTGGCGCCCGGCCGGGAGGCAGGATAGGGAGACTAGTGCAGCAGTGTGGTGAGGGCCTGGGGACGTGGGGCCGCTGTCCCATCCTGCAGATGAGGACACTGAGGCCCTGAGAGTGCAGTGTGGGCCAGAAGCTGTGGCTCGGCTCTGTGCCAGCCGCTCCTGCTGCTGTCCGCTGGGCACCGCTCACTTCCTCCCGCCCACACCAGGAAGGGGAGGTGGTAATTGCCACCTTGGACCAGTAGCGCTTGTCAACAGATTTTTTAGATCTTTTATTTTATGTTCATCTATTCACGTATTTATTTCTGTAAAGGCCTGTGCCAACTCTGGGGGAAGAGGTTCCACCCCTGGTAGTGTGCTTGGGGGCAGAGCATTGGCTTTGGAAGGAGAACTGGGTCCGTGGGGGCCTCACCATTCCCCCTGGGGGGCCCGCAGCACCACCCTCTGGACCTGAGCGTGAGCATGCCCACCTTAGAGGACGTCAGGGGCGCTGCACAGGCACCCGGCCTCCCACATTGCCCCTGCCGTGGCCACTGCTGGTGGTGCTCCCGGGCCACTGGGCCTCCTGCAGGCCTTCGTCAGAACTGTGCGAGTCATTGTGTGCTGTGGTTTCTGTGCCCAGCCAAGTCCATCTGTCCCTTTGCCATCTTTCCGCAGTATCTCAGGCCTGGCGCGGGGAGGCCAGCGTGTGTCCTGAGCGCCTGTGGGTCTGTGGGAGAGGTGGTGGTCTCCCTGCTGCCGAGGCCAGCTGAAGGCTGCCTGGTGGGCCATGCTGAGCCGGCACATGGCTACCTGCCACGTGGCCCTGAGTGGCACGGGGGGGTAGGAAGGTGGCCTTGTCACAAAGGGAAGGGACAGAGCAGGCAGGTGGTCACCTCAGAGGCCTCCTTCCGGGCTGACCAGCGTAGAGTGTCCTGGAGATGTGGAGCCTGCAGAGGGAGGCTGCATGATGGATGTCCAGCCCTGTGTTTCCATCCTGGTCCCTTGCCCAGACACACGTAGGAGGGGCTCAACAAGATTTCGGGGCTTGCCTTGGGTGACAGGGTGGCAGCTGTACCTGCCGTCTGTTCCTGTGCCAGTGCGCTCTCTGGGCAGGGTCAGCGTGTGGGCAGGAGAGGAGCCCAGGAGGCCTGGTGAGGCTGGGGGAGGGGTCAGTCGGGGGCGGGGCCAGATGGGGACGGAGTCAGACGGGGGCGGGGCCAGATGGGGCGGAGTCAGGTGGGGCCGGGGGCAGGGCCAGATGGGGGCGGGGCCAGATGGGGCAGAGCCAGCCGGGGGCGGGGCCAGATGGGGCGGATCCAGCCGAGGGTAGAGTCAGTTGTGGGTGGAGTCAGATGGGGCTGGAGTCAATCTTGTGGGGTCAGCTGGGGGCGGAGTCAGGCAGGGGCGGGGTCACCTGGGAGAGTTAGCTGTTAGGTGGGGGCGGAGTCATCTGGGGGTGGGGTTGGCCAGGGGCGGGGTCGGTTGGGGGCGGAGTCAACTGAGGGGGCGCCCAGCTCCAGCCAGGGTCTGTTCCGCGGGGCCCACCCCCCCAGGCTCCCGCGCACCCTGGCACCCGTGAAGGGTCCTCTCCACGTCCAGCCCTGGAGCCCCTCTGTGTTGGAATTGGGGCCTGGAGCCCCAGATTCTCGTCCTGCCTGTTCCGGGTTCCTCGGGCTCTTGGCTTCAGTGTCCTCGTCTGTAAAATGGGCTCAGCGCTCCTTCACAGAGCGCTCGGAGTGTCGGAGACCCCCGGCTCCAAGGAGCTGTGGCGGAGTGCAGGGTCACCGGGTGGCTCTGCCCATCCTCCAGCCTTTTGTGTTGTCCTTTGATTTCCTTCTCCTACACACACACACATACACACATACACACACGTATGACACATCCCTGCACCCACACGCCCCACCCCTGACCTGAAGCAGAGCTCGTTTGACCTAGGGGTGGGTGTGAGCCTTTGTCTGGCTTTCTGATGGGGGCAGGGACTGAGGCGGGCACATGGTCATCTTTGCTGTGGCACATTTTCCGCATGAAGCCCGCTCTGGAGTGGGGCCCGTTCCCACCTCCTGCACCCCCTCAGCTGCGGGGTGTCCGGAGTTGAGACAGAGCCCCACAGGCATCCCTGCACTCTCTCAGGACCTGACACCTGACTCCCAGGGGAGGACATTGCCTGTCCTGTACTCAGTGTCCTATCAGAGAGCAAATAGTTAAGTGAAGGGAAAAGCCTCATTTTATTGAATTCCAGGATTTGGTAAGTTAAAGCAATCAGTACAGAATGGAGTGACGTAAAGCTCTCTGGCTCCTCTTCCCCGGGGCCGGGTCTCAGCGAAGGCGTGTGCAGGACACGCAGTCCCTGGTGCTGACTGTGCCCTACCGTGTGGGAGGCCAGGCCTCCACCTCACGCCCCCGCCTGGCAGCTAGACCCCGGCTGTAACCTGAATGGGCTCTCGGTGGGCTCACAGCCCCTGTGAGAAGCTGCATTTGTGTCCTTGCGTGAAGGGGCGTTTCTCGGGTGTTGGCAAGGGCAGGGAACACAAGGAGTCCGTGCTCCAGCAGGGCTGGGGGGGGCTACCGAGTGTGCCCCAAAGCCCGGCCTGGGATGGCCCAGGGTGGGCACGGGGCATCCACCTGACCTGACCCTGATCCCTGCAGCAGGCCTGCGAGCATATCCCCCGCCCCCTGCAGCAGGGCAATGGCCCTGTGGTTGCGGCCCCCCGTCAGGGCTGCAGAACCCGGGCTGTAGGCCCTCACCCCTCCCGAGAGCTCAGAGTGGGGGGCATGCAGAGCCCTGGAGGCCCCTGAGGCCCCAACAGGGAGCTGCCTGCCATGAGCCGGGGGAGAAGCTGTGGCAGCAGGGCACACCAGAGCTAACTGCTCTCTCTGTTGCCAGCAGAGTCCCCGGGGCCCTTTTGCTGAGCTGCCTGATGATGAGAAGATCTTTAATGGGGGTGACGGCATGTGGCAGGGCCAGGAGCAGGCGCTGCTCCCGGAGATCACCGAGGAGGACCTAGAGGCCATTCGGCTGCGTGAGGAGGCCATCCTGCAGATTGAGGTGAGGACCTGGCCTGGCCGGTATGGGGGGGTGCGATTGTGCGTGTGACTGTGCCAGTGGTCCTCGTCCCTGCGTGCTGGAAGTGCACTGAGAACACAGGGGGGACGTGGTTCTGCCAACAGTGGGGCCCGAGCCCCCTGAGCCCCTGCGAGCAGCCGTGGGTGCATTCTCCTTCCCCCTGGGTTTCCTCATCTGCCCCTGGAAGTTGGAGCTGCTTCCAGGGGTGAGTTTCTGGACACATGTCAGAAAACAGCTTCTTGTAGAAAAACAGGAACCCGGGCAAGTTGATAAACTGAGTCACCAGCTCAGGACTTTGTGCTGTGTTTGTTGTCCCACCCTGAAAAGAGGTGGATGCCCCCACCCCCGCCCAGGGAGGCGGGGTTCAGCCCCTTACCTCTGGGGCCCCCGCCGCACCTCGGCCACTGCCTCCAAGAAGCCCCCTCTTCACACATTCCTGTTCCTCAAAGGGAAGGCTCACCCATCCGTGGCCCTGGCAGGAGGCAGCATGTGACACGGGCCGCTCACTGTGCTGGGAACGTGTGTCTGCGGCCCTCCCCGTTGGCTCGGCAAGACCGGCTTCCCACAGGCGCTGAGGAAGGTGTGGCACATGATTGCCCCTGAGGATGCGGGGTGCCAGGGTCCCAGGAGGTGGGAGGGAGGGCCTGCTTCTCTCTTTGGCTCGAGAACTGAGGTCCCTGTAGGAAGGGCTAGGAGCCCCCTGTCACGGTCTGTGGATGCTGGGGAGAAGGGGCAGAGATTGGGAGGCCAGGCGGGCGGGAATGGGTGCCCCGCTCGAGGAAGGTGCTGGGGAGCTGATGCCGCCCACCCAGTGCTGGCCCCAGGGCCGTGAGGACGTGGGCGGGGTGGGGGCTGGCCCTGGGCGAGGCCAGGAGCCCCTGAGCAGGGGGCCCCCGGAGGGCGGAGGCTGAGGTCAGGTGGCACCTCAGCATCCTGCTGGCTGGGCCCTGGGGAGACCCCACTGTGTGGATCACGGCGGCCCCCAGGACAGGGTTCAGGGGAGCCCCTTGTGTGAGTGGGGCCTGGGCAGAGGGTGGACTTTACCGGGGTGATTGCCCCGTCAGCCAGGATGGAGGGGCCCGGGGCTCTAGGCTCCCCAGGACCTGGGGTAGCGTGGGACCCCCCCCCCAAATCCAGCCAGTCCTGTCTGCAGCCCTCAGAGCCCAGGGTCAGCAGGGGGACCGCCATGGCCAACCTTACGGGGAGCAGCTGGGAGCTTGTGTCGCTCCGTGCAGCACAGAGGGTGACATGGATGTGCCCCCCCCACACACCGCCTCTCTCCTCCTTGTCCCTCCCAATTCCAGGCCCCCTCCCCTGGCCCTGGGGGCCAGCCTCTTACTGCCTGACCAACCGTCAGGCCTGACGCCCAGGGCCCTCCGTGGCTTGCCTGACAGATGACGTGTTGAATGAACCCGTGCAGCTGGCCACAGTGGCTGTTGCCCCCAGAGACAGAGGCCTGGGTCCTGCACCCCATCTGCGCTGCCCTCCGCTCCCCAGGGGAGGACCCACAGGCAGCCTCTCATCCTCCCCTGGCTTCCACGTGGGCAGTTGCCCGTGGCCACCAGGGCCTTCAGCTGCTGCCCCTGGGCTCCCTGTCCAGGCGGCTCTCTGGCTGCTGGCCCGGTCCTGGGCCCTCCCAGGCAGTGTGGCCATCCAGGGCTGGAATGGGGGCCCGGAGCCCCTCACCCCTTGCTTCAGTCTGGCTCTGCTGCTTCTGCGGCTCCTGCAGGGCTGCCTGGTTCTGGGGTCCCGGTGCCCTGCCCCACCCGGCTCGCCCTGCCCCCCTCACCCTGCCCTGCCCCTCTGCTCAGCCCAGCTTCACCCCAGTCAGCCCTGCTCCGCCCCGCTCAGTGCTGTCCGGTCTCACTCAACCTTGCAGCACCCTGCCCCACCTATCCCCTGCCCTTCAGCCCTGCTCCACCCCACCCAGCTCAGCCCCACCCCACTGCCCCCTGTTCAGCCCAATTCAGCCCCCCTCAGCCCTGCTCCTCCCCGCTCTTCCCTGCAGGCCAGGGCTCTTACACACAGGCCTTAGCACAGCTGCCCCAGGGCCTGGACTCAGCTGTGCTCTGCCCTGACCCCTGACCCCTGGCCTCCTGGGCCTGGACCTTCCCAGCCCGGCTCCTCTCTCCCATCACCAGGTACTAGCAGCATGGTCTGGGGCAGTCCCAGGCCCTCCATGGGGGTACCGGCCCCTCCCATCAGGCCCCCGGGTGTGTGGAGCCTTGGAACGCACACAGGGCCACACCGTCTGGCCAGCCTGAGACACCCCCGCCCCGCTCGCTCCCCCACATAGCCTGCGGGTTGGGCCGGTGGTGTAGTGCGGAACCCGAGGGTCTCTTCCTCTTGTTTCCATGAGGAGACTAGAGTTGGGGGGGGGAGCACCTGTGTGCAGGTGGAGCTCTGGGGACACCCAGCGTGGAGAGCTGTGCCCGGCTGTTGGGTAGCTGCTTACTGCCCGGGGGACGGCCATGCTTGGCCTGGGGGCTCTGGACAGCCCTGCAGCAGGACCTGCAGAGGGAGCCATGCTAGCCCAAGCACACACACACAGGCAGGACGCGGTCACCCCTTCCTGAGGGGGGTGGCCACACTCTGGGGCCCATGTGGCCTGAGCTGGCGGCTCCTGGGCCGGGGGCCTCGGGGGGCTGTGCCGGGCCAAGGTGAGCAGCGTACATGCAGTACATGCAAGATCGGGGTCGGTGAATGGGTCCCTGCGACGGGGTGTGGAGGGGGCTTGGGGCACAGCCCCTTCCACCAAGCTAGCTCCTGGCCGCCCGGGCTGCAGGCGAGGAGGCCCCCCACTTCTTTTGCCGGGGGATGGGGCTACCTCAGGAAGGAGGCTTATCCATTGTCCTCATAGCTGCGGCCAAGACCACCCGTGGTCCTGTGGCCTGTCACCACCAGAGCCGCCAGTCCGGCAGGAAGAGCAGCCTTGCTGCAGCGGTGGGCAGGCTGGCACCTGGAGTGGTGGTGGGGGCAGGAGGTGGAGGCCAGAGAGGCCACTGTGGGTGTAGCGGAGGCTTCCTTGACCCCTTGAGGGGAGGGGTGGCTGGCCTCGGGTGGCTCTTGGTCGCAGAGGGGAGGGGGAAGCCTGGTGGGGTCACTGCCTGGCCATGGGAGTGCCAAGGGGTTCCTTCTGGAAGCTTCGGTGTGTCTATAAGACGGGGCAAGGACACCAAGCTCTGAGGTTGTTGAAGGGACTGAGGGAAAGGGAAGGACCTTTGTCAGCCGGCCCGTGCCAGCGCGCTGCGGTGAACCACCTGGCAGGGGCCTCACCTGGGCAGAGCCAGAGCGGGCAGGGCTGGGGGGGCAGGACGCACTCCCAGCCCTGTCCCCGGTCAGGACTTTCCTGTCCAGCTTTTCTGTGTGGAGGGTCCACGGTGCTTCTATGACCTAGCCTTGGAGGTCATGCGGCCTCCCCTCGGCCCTGCGTTAAGCGGCTACGGAGGCCTGCCTGGCCCCCCTTGGCGGAGGCACCAGGGTCCTTGTTGGGAGTAGCGTGGCAGGCGTGTTGGGCTGGCTCCCAGCCCCCCACCCCCCGTGCCATTTCGCGGGCCGTACACCCTCCCCCAGTCCCTTCCCGCCAGCTGCCCTGGCACGTGCCTGCCCAGAACCTGTTCCTCCAGATGCTCGAGCAACTTAGGACTCTTCCTGACCTTTGGGTCGTGACTCAGTGGGCAGATCAGACATTCCAGCTGCCTGTCTGTTATATGTGACATGTTGAGTGATGGGCCACGTTGTCGGTTTTTCTCTTTACGAGAGTGAAGCCCCGTGGAGGCAGGATGCTTGCCTGTCCTCGTCCCCGCAGGTTCCCGGCACCACAGACGACGTGTGACACTCGCTGGGCACTCGACAGCTCTTCATCGAACAAACGGACGAGTGGAAGGGTGAAGGATGGGTGGTGGGAGACGGAGGGGGGTGACGGAAGACTGGATGCCTGGGGGTGCAGGGAGGGACGTGCGTGGGGGCCGCGCGGGGGCTGGCGGATGGATGGCTGGTGGGTGGAGGGATGAATAAGTTTGGCGTGTTGGGGCTCCTAGCGGATCTGTGACTTAATAAGAGGGCTGTGTCGCCTTTATTTATATGCATCATCAGCCCTCACAGAAGCCTGCGACAGTGAGCGCTCCTGTGCTCCAGTTTTATCAGAGCCCATGCGGAGGCTTGGAGAAGCCACGTCACTTGGCCCGGCCATGCGGCTCGTGTGGCAGGGACCGGGCGCAGGCTGTGGGACGCAGGAGCGGGGCTGTGCCCACGGTGCTGCCCCCACCCCTGCCTCTCCCTCGGCCTCTCCCAGATGGGAAGGGTGCAGGCAGCCACTGGAGTGCAGCGTCCAGAGCGGGTGTGGAAGGAAGGAGGCAGCTCCTACGGCCCCGCTGGTCCACCTCACCCCTGCAGCCCTGCTCTGCCTTACCCCTATGGCCCTGCTCCGCCTGCCCGTGCCACCCTGCTCTGCCTCACCCCTGCGGCCCTGCTCTGCTTCACCCCTATGGCCTTGCTCCGCCTGCCTGTGCCGCCCCGCTCTGCCTCACCCCTGCGGCCCTGCTCTGCCTGCCTGTGCCACCCTGCTCTGCCTCATCCCTGCGGCCCTGCTCTGCCTGCCTGTGCCACCCTGCTCTGCCTCACCCCTGCGGCCCTGCTCTGCTTCACCCCTATGGCCTTGCTCCGCCTGCCTGTGCCGCCCCGCTCTGCCTCACCCCTACGGCCCTGCTCTGCCTGCCCGTGCCGCCCTGCTCTGCCTCACCCCTGCGGCCCTGCTCCGCCTGCCTGTGCCACCCTGCTCTGCCTCACCCCTGCGGCCCTGCTCTGCCTCAACCCCTGTGGCCCTACTCCGCCTGTCTGTGCCGCCCTGCTCTGCCTCACCCCTGCGGCCCTGCTTGTCTCACCCCTGCAGCCCTGGTTCACCTCACCCCTGCAGCCCTGCTCTGCCTCACCCCTATGGTCTTGCTCCACCTGCCTGTGCCGCCCTGCTCTGCCTCACCCCT